ATTATGTGTTCATCAAACTCAGCAAAGCACAGAAACAGTATCAAAGCAAAGGATACAGACAGTAACAGTATTTTCCACTATATCTGAAAGTAATTATAGCAAATAATGCTGTATAAAACTAGACTATTACTTTATAAAAAATGTTTAGATTACAAGAAGCAGAGGCTAAAATGAATAAAAGACAGCTATAGAACATAATATATGATCGGCATAAACTGACTGACTGACTGACTTTCTACCCCACCAGGACATCACACAAGCGATAAACACCCAATGACACAAAGTGCCACCATGTGGATGAGGATCACCGTGGAGAGGTCCCAGAAACCGCATTGAGACAATTGGCCATATTTATGGCCTGCCTATATTGCGGCCCCTGGCAAAAGCCAGGGTGGGGCTTCAAATAACAACAAAAAATTACATCCTAAAAAGGACAGAAGGATTAATTATCGGCATAAACTGAAATACAGCAAAGATAAATAAACTAACCAGGCTCACAAATAGTCTTATAGCTACAACATCCAAATAAAAAAATCTATGGATATAATTTGAATTCCTGACATAATTGAACTACACTAGAAGGATACAGCGTGAATAATATAGTAGTAATCAGATTACATTAAAAAAGCTTAAAGGTAAGAGGATCGACTTTCCTGCACTAGGATTTTTCCCTAATTGCTCAGTCTCTTCATAGTGAACAGCTACCTATCTGTCGAGAGCGTCACACACAAAAAAACACCCTATAATCCAGCAACGATCCAAGGGATCTTTCATAACATTTGTACTCGTGAATCCAACGACAATAGTAAAATGTACCCATGATCTTCAGAGCACATGGCAAATGGCTTATCAGCCAGATCACTGAGAGCTCCCTAATGGACAATCACGGCTTTTTAATCTCAAACTATATGTGGGTTAGGTGTAAGTTCTTTTTCCCATTATGCTTTTTGATCAAGTTATCGAGAAAAGTATGTTTTCCTCTTGCTCTGTCCCACAAGGTTTCCCAGTTATCAAGTGTTTGTTTTCCTCGTGTCGGTTAGGGGGCCAAATACTGGTTGTGGGGTGGGGGGATAGACCCACTTCCCACCAACAAGTATGTCATAAAGGTCTACTAATTATGTGTGTCTCGTTCAAAGTCAGAGTACATCCGCCTTAGGGGAGAGGAACCAATAGTGCTCATAGAAATGAGCCAGATTTGTAAATCAGATGTGCACATGTAAAATTCTGGAACAAAACCAAAAAAGTTCACAAGTGGACAAACAATTAGAACTTTCCGATAGAGTTTTTACAGCTGGTGAAGGCTAAGAAGAAGCAGAAGTAGTCATTTTTCCCTCCTCATGATTTCAGCAAAAGACCTTGACTGATTACACCTAATTTCTCTAATACATATGTAGTTTGCGTCTGTGGCTAAGGCATTGCGAATCCGACTCGCAATCCAATGTACCGCGATAGAAACCCACCGCAGGCTGTGTGGATTTTTATCGTGGTATGGGACGTCGCAGGTCGACCCAGCCTCAAATGGGTACCAGGATGGCTGACCTGGGGAAGTAAAGACGGCCGGCGTAATGCTGACCACATTACCCACCGAGTGCCGATTGGTCTGTAAAAATAAGAGACGATCTGCCCATATACCCGATGCGCCTTAGGCATAATAAGGGATCTTTACTATTACTTTATATATGTAGTTTACATATGTATCTTGATGGACTACATCCATGGTGCCTGTCTTACTCTTTGCAAGTTTCCTGTGAAACCACATTCGTGAGATATTTCTCAGCCTGTTTGCACACAGTCCAAGGGTTAACATAAACTTCAGCCATGAAATATAAGTTGTACAGTTCCCAACAAAAATCAAATAATGAAAAACATAAGAAACACTGCTATGAAAAAATAAAATGTTCTTTTATAGTCTGCGGAAAATGCAGCTATCAGATCTACAGCCCAAGCAGATGCATGATGCGCTAACATTACGAGTTCAAGATAAACAAAACAGAAAATAACAAATTGACACATACATCCTACATGTTTCATGCAGATATTCAACACAATTCAATGAAAAAGGGAATCTGCTAAGGCATGGCATCTCCTAATTAACCAATGGGGATAGGATACATCCTAGAATTTGTTAATATGCGCTCAACCAAAGGATTTTAGGTACTCATAGCAAAAAGTATGGAATGCCTACAGAACCACCTAAATCAAATTAGTAACAAAGGGGAGAAATATAATATGAAATTAAACACTATGAAGACAGAGACAGTGGTGACAGGAAGACAATTTAGAAATAAAATTAAAAAACAACACCTTAAGACAAACAGAGGAATTTAAATATTTGGGAGATATTTTCACATCTGACGGAAAACTAGACAGAGAAATTAGCTCGAGATGTGCCAAAGCTAATCAAGTAAAAGGGCAACTATCTCCCCTGTTGACACACAAACAGATACACCGGAGTACTAAAGTGAATTTTATCAGAACTATTTTTTGGTTAACACTATGCTATCAATGCCAAACGTGGACCCTTACATCCTCCAATGAACATAACATTGTGACAATAGAGATGAAATGCCTTAGAAGAGCTGCAGGAGTTTCAAGGAAAGACATAATACGAAATCAGACGAATGCTATGAATAAAGCCAGTCTTACAGGTCATCAAAGAACAACAAATAAAGTGGTTTGGATACCTAACAAAAATGACCTGGTATTATCTGCCACAGCGAGCCACACTAAAACGTTACAACGGGTATAGAGCGAGTGGAAGACCTCGGAAAATATGGAGTGATGGCATTAAGAACAGCCTTACAGGAATGAACATCAGTCTTAACAGTGCTCTTGACAGAGCTCATCAACGAACGTTACATCCCCCCCTCCCCCAACACTTCGATGAGGTACAACGTGGAAGAGAAGAGAAGAAGAAGAAGAAGTGGGCTAACAGCCTATAAGAAACATTATAAGCAGTTTCTAGTTTTTGTGGTAAAGTAGAATTAAGCTTATGATATGCTGCCTGAAGCAAAATATTTGTCCTTATGTACAAATTCTTAACAAGAGTTATATGAAGCTTGTTGGCTGATTCACCTAAATCCAGGACCAACTTCACTGCACCTGAAATTATCCAATAGTGATCAGATCTGGGTTTTTTCCAAGATAAAACTTTGAGAAACTAATAGTCCAGGGTTGGTGAAGAACTGGCGACTGAATTACCTGTTGAAACACTTGATAGTTGGTAGTGGAAGAAGGTAAAATCTACCAACAACAGACCCCCTCCCCTCTGTTAGCCTCTAGTATCTACGACGTTGCTCACAAGCACTGCAGATGCAAAGTGTTGGCAACTGTGATGTCAAGCCAGCAGATCTGTTTTGCTCTCTGCACTTACCCAGGCTTTGTCACAAGGCATTGTGGAAGAGATGCAGTTTATGTTGAGTGCTAGCTATGCTTCGCTGGCTATCATACACCCATATTATTACTTAGTGGTGGGGGTGTCAATAAAAATACTTCTTGGCGCTTCTCATGCTCTGTAATTTGTTCTAACATTTAAGTCACTAGAAATATTCAAAACCTTCACTACAGCTGAAAGACCAGCAAACTCTGTTGTGGTGATAAGACTAACTTTTTTTGTCTTCTAATTTGTTTATGTGAGAGGGTATGAAGAGAAAGATGTCCGAAATATTACTATATTTACTTCTTTGTGACTGCTTACACCAGCATACTTTAATATTAAAGGCTGGTGCCATGTGCTACTGGGGTAATTATGACATATCCCCTCAATATTTTTTGAGACTGTGTGAATGTGGAAATGCCAAGCTGTTTATTCGAACTGACATGGCTAACAGCTAGCTACACTCAGTCCACCCTCCCACCCACACACAAAACAACTTTCTTGGAAAATACTTGAACCAATGAGCCCATAAATACTAACCACAGGCGCTCGGAAGCATTGAGGAAATGCTGCACAAATTTCTAGACATCACAAGGTGTGTTTGGGATTAGAGAAAATAGTAGCCAGAAATACAATGATTGTTAAAGAATAAAGGAAGATTTGAACGATGAAGGCATGAGCAGCATGTAACTTTAGTGTTGAACAATCTGCCAGGGGGAAAAAAATTGGTCTACATTTACTGAGCAAACACACAGGAACTGTGGCCTGCTCAGCTATGTACTCATTCTTAATATTTGCTTCGTCGTATCTTTATTGCTCACTGACACATGTATGTTGTTTGCTTTTATCTAGAGTCTCATGCTCTTTCCACCTATAGCCTGTGACTGGTAACTTCTAATGCAGGCATTATCATACTTTTCTTTGTCAGTTAATTTCTTTCAAAATTTTTATTTGTGTGTGTTTTCATTCTTCTAGAAAGCCAGATATCCACAGCTTTAACATATCACCCTAATCTGCTGACTGTCCATGATTCACTTCTGTACATCAAGAGAACCTAAATAGAGCAGCTCTTTAGGTCTCTTTGAGATATCAGATTTACTGCACTGCATGTTTTTGTTTAGCTAGGGTTATAATACATTAAACTTCTTTCACACACCTTCCACTTACCAATTCACCAACATCTTGAACACGACTTGTTTTACCTTTCAGACTAATATTTTGTTATATCTTTCTACTGCAATTAGCATTTCTTGCTGTTAGAAATGTGTCTTCTTTTAGTGAAGGGATATTAGCTATTGTTCACTCATTCAGTCACAGAAAAGATGGCAGAGGCTGCTGGTGAACAACTGCATGAATTACTACATGGTATTGGGCTACAGGGTAGAATCCCTGGTGCCACTGGATTGATAAAAACAACATAAACACAGATGTACACATATCTATACATGCCTGCTCAATCACACGCACATACATTCCACATGAACATCTGGTCAGGCAAACAATTTTGTATTTCTAAAAACCACTAACTAGGTTTCTAATCATGAAGGAGGAGGAAGCCATTATGAAGGTTACTAGGAATGTACTGAACATGAACAAAACTAGAATATGACATCACAAAACTTACTCAGCTGGAAGATCCGGAGCATCATCCTCCTGACCTGGAATATCAACATGGATAAAGGCTCCTCTGCGAATGATCTCTTCCATCGATGGACCAGCCAGGAAGTTGGTCCACATTGAATCTATATTTTGGGACAAAAGACAGGACAAACACATCATATTCAACAGTTAGGAACACACACACAAAAGTTAAAAAAAAAGAAGTTTAGTTTTATGAAACAGCCTAACATTAGTGAGTCACAGTTTACCTAACATTTTTAAAGAATACATGTCGAGTTAAGTCGAGTCAAGAATTGACATCACAGTACTCGGGGCATTCCCATGCATGCTCCGAACTCATCTTCAGCAACCAAAGCAGAGTTCCAATATTAATGGTACTGCTCGTAATCTGGTTATATGTCCATCTTGCCTTTTCTCTGAGTGTGGTGAACTGGCCAGACCTTCTGGTTACACCCAGGTGCATCATTATCTCCAGGCCATAATAATCATGTTTCCTTTACTTGTTCCTGAAGGGCTTTGACTACATCTGCTTTGTCATGTATCAATTCATCACCCAGTGGTGCAGATTCAGTCAATCTGTCTGCATGTTCATTCCCCATCTTGCCAATATTGCCTGGAGAAAAGATCCAAAGTATGCTCAGTACCCATGACCTTCCCAGTGAAGCTAGACACTATGTTCGAAGCATCCCTGTCTTGACCTTTCTCAGCATGCTTTCAGAGTCTGTTACAGCTACTACATGTACATGCATCTTGTTCTCTAGCCACCGAAAAGTTGCAGTTACCACCTCCACTCTCATGCTAGATGTTGTGGTATCTTATGCTAGGCTGTCATGCACTATATAGATTCTCCACTGGCTTTCGTCCAGGAACTTCTCTTCCCTCTCAACACTGAACCATCTGTACAGATAAATCAGATCATCTAGGCGAGAACTGTCGTGAATCAACTGTTGGACTTCTACCTCCATAGCACACACTGGCCACTCTCTGCACTCCCGGCACAATGTGATTAAAACCCTACACAGGTCAGACTTTCCCTCTGGTACTCTGACCCACCCCTCTCCTCGTCCAATGTTTTGCAGCATGCATACTTGTCTTATTGTGTCTTCTGTTTGAGACATCCATGATTTTACCCTTTTCAGCCTCTGAAGAAGAAGAAGAAGAAGCCTCTGACCGGTAGCCAAAGCTTCATACAGAGGGGTTCTTTGCAGCTACTCTGAGGTATGACTTAGCCTGTAGCACCTTTAGCCTATCTCACATGCAAACAATTGGGGTGTCTCTTGTACATCCCAGGAACACCCGCAGAGCTTCATTCTGTATGCACTCCAGTTTTTCTAGCTGACTCCTCGAGACAGTGAGTAACCCCAATCCATAATCAATCACTGAGATTGAGAGCTAGTAAAGTGTGAACAGACTTCTCTGCTCCATGTCCATCGCTGCAACAATTTTTAGTGTATTAAGACCTTTTTAAGCCTTTGTCACAACACCCTCTATGTGAGCCTGAAAGACAAACTTCTGTCAAAGGTGATTTCAACGTACGGCAGTCTGCTGTCTCTTTTGATGTCCAAAACATTTATTTTGTGGCTTGGAACAACAGCTCTAACAAGCCTTTTGTCAAAACAAACAAAAAACACAGGATGGCTGCCTTTTCTGGGTTAATTACAGCACTCATCTTTGTACACCAGTCAATCACCTTATTTATTGTTGCCTTTCAATCTTGAGCTATTTGATTCCGATCTCTCCCCTTCCTATAGACGAGAACATCATCTGCAAATGCAATATTCTGCCAATTCAGGTTGGCAGTCTTGCTCGTAAAAATGTTGAGCAGTACAGGTGAAATTGCAGATCCCTGTGGCAGTCCTGGAGCTATAATACATGGTTTAGAGGTCCATGAAACCATTGTTCATACAGTGAAATATGCCTAGCCATGTACTGTGCAATGTATTGTTAAGGCCCTTATTAATTACACTTTCATATTTTTAGTGGCTTTTTTTTCTGTAAATTGTATTTTACAGATCATATTCAGCTCTACTCCATTTCTGCAGGCTTGATAACTGGGAAATCTTTTGGGACTGGTATGTCCAGAAGCTCTACTAATTCAGTGTATCTGTTAATTTGATCTTCAGGGTTGGTGAAAACTGTCCTGTTACAAATTTTAATAAGTCCACTGGATTGGTTGTATTTTCTTGACATTTTCTTTGTGCTGTTAAAAGGATTTCAGGTTCTGTTCTGTTGCTACTTCTGACTCTACTGCTGGACCATCCCAAAATTTTTTTTTTTTAAATCAAAAAAATATCTTCTTTCTAAGATCTGTTTTAGTCTCTGTGCAGTCTTCATTTTCACTCAATATGTTAGTTAGTTAGTTAGTTAGTTAGTTAGTTAGTTAGTTAGTTAGTTAGTTAGTTAGTTGGGTTATCATCATTGCACTCCGGACATGTCCATAGGTGCTCAGATCCTCCCCTCAGTATGAACCCCAACGTCCGATGGCTAATAGTACCAGTTCTATGTTGATTAACAAGTCTTCTTACGTGTCCGGTGTGCGTCTCGTTTTTTGCTGTGCCGATCTTAATTCCCAAGTCTGCCATTCTGGCGAGTGATGTGGATTCACTGCCACCAAAGTCCTCTATCCTTCCCATTTCTCTGAGGGCATTGATAATATCAGCATGATCCATAGGCCGACCGTCGGTAGTGATAGCGGATCCAGCCAACCTGTCAGCTCTTTCATTTCCATCGACGCCTGCGTGTCCCGGAACAAAAATAAAGGTGACTCCACGCACAGTGGACTTCTGAATTGATTCAAGCCATTGTCTTCGCACTGAACCTGCCTGAACCCTCCGGATCATACTCATTGAATCACTGAGTATACATATGCGGGTGTATTTTTGTGTTTCAAGCCTGGCAAACGCTTGCGTCACTGCCATCACCTCCATCGTCCTGCTGCTGGTTGTCATGGAGAAGGCGCCGTTGGCTTCTTTGACTGTTCTGCCCGCTGAGCGTGCTGTAAATGCCCATGCGCTTCTTCTTTGGCGTATAACGGATCCGTCTGTATAGATTAGTGCATCTGCATCGTCTGAATTTTCACCAATGAGAGCGTTGACCTCTGCATTAACAGTAACAGGATTCTCTTCTCTACATCTCCTGTTGAGTGTGACAATACAGGAAAATGTACAAATAAATGCCTGAGGCACAGGTATCCATTCTGCCCCAGGTATGATGTCGGTTAGGCTGCATATTTGCCTAATAACATCTTCTGCCCGACCTAGCCACGATTTCCCCCTCTTCAGTCTGTCGCCCTTTTCACTAAAAAGCGCTTGATGCAGTGGGTGTTTCTTATCAGCACATATTTTGAGGTATGCCCGAGCCCTCCACATCCTGATCCTTTGGTTCATTGTTGGAAAGTCAAGTAGATACCTCATTGCTCCACAGGATGTGTCTCTTGTACATCCCAAAATAATGCGCATGGCTTCATTTTGCACATTTTCGAGTCGTTCAATCTGGGTAGCACTGACAGTGAGGATGGCCAGAGCGTATTCAATGGGAGAAAGGACCAGACCGTAGAATAGAAGAATTAGTAGTCTTTGCTCGATATTGGAAGCATCCATAATCCTCATTGCAGATAGACCTTTGCGTGCTTTTGTTATCACATGGTCAACGTGTTTCCTGAATGACAAGCTGCGATCGAACCTCACCCCGAGAAACGTCATAACGTTTGTTCTGATCAATACATTATCACGCATTTTCACTTCTGGTAAGTCCGACTTGACAATGTGATTGTTCAAATAGAACCATGACACTGATGCCTTCGAAGGATTGACATAGGCATTGGAACCATCACACCAGGCGGCAATTCGATCGAGTTCTTTGTGCATAGTGCTGGCGATCTCCTGTCTATCACGCCCTCGTCGATAAATCAAAATGTCATCAGCAAATGACAAAGTCCTTCCCTTTCCATTCAACTGCTGCTCAGTGATCATCACCGTAAAAACGTTGAATAAGACTGGTGATAGCAGTGATCCCTGTGGCAAACCTGGAAAAATCGTTTGCGGTTCTGAGGACTAGCTACCACATCTTAGTACAATCTTTCTCTGGAACAGGACCGCAGCAATCCAGCGGATCAGAATAGGATTGACTTCTAGTTTAAGCAGTAATTGCATTAAATAATCATATGGTACTTTATTGTAGGCATCTTCTAAGTCCAACACTGCCGCACATGTCTCTTCTTTAATCTGAAATCCCTCGTACACATCGTAGGCGAAAACAGCAGCATTGAACCATGTCTCTTTCTTCAACCTATACCCTCCAAGTGTTGATGGGAACTTATCATGTAGTTCCAAGTAGGTGGTCAATCTTTGTGCAACAATTTTTTCCAAAAGTTTGCCAACAGTATTCTGCATCAATATCAACTCAATATGTTGTTGAAAGCTGCCTCTTTTAATTTTTTATTTTGCTGTTCGATTTTGTTTTTAAATAACTGCATGCATTATCCATCCCCCTAAGCGTGACACAGACGCAACATAGGACAGGCCCTGCGACATGACGAGCCATGAATGAGAAGAGAAGCCACTCTCTTTCTGGAGTGGGAAATGTTACTATAACCGTTTCTGGTTCTGTCTTTGCTGTCTGCTGGTCCATGAAATATTTCTCCCATGTTTTCTAGTCTGCTGGTGTTAGAAAACTGCAGATATTGGTCTTCAATGGAGAGACATAATATCGTGTAACCAGCACATACAAGGCTGGCTGAGATTAGGCCTATGTTGGTAATACTTCCAGCACAGGCTTCAACAATTTCATTACCAACGGACCAAATTTTTAAGGCAGACAGTCACAACAAATGTCTGAACAACTATTTTTAGTTTCATAAAAATGAGATAGAGACAATAAATACTTAAACAACCACTGCTTTCATGACAACATACATATTTTTAAAATGATAAAAAGTGAGCATGTTTTTTTTAAAAACTTCTCTCCCTTTCATTAACCTCATAAAAAGACACATAAATAAATTATAATCATAAAGTCACAACTTGTGTTGTGTATTGATTATAATGATAAAGTTACAACATGTGTTGTGTATTGGTGTAACAAAGGAATATTTCTAAGTCTGAAACAGTTAAAATATTGCTAGATTTTTAAGTAGACTACTTACGATTGCATCCCAGGTCGTGGACTGTCAGAATTACAAACTGACTGTGTTTAAGATCACCCTGAAATATAAGTTTTTTGACAAGCTTAATAAAAAATGTATAATCATCAATAGAAAAATAGAAACCTTATCTCGTAGGGTAGTAAGGAGTACATCACACAACGACTTATCACTAATCTAATTGCCCTCTGATACGGAAAGAGTAAATGTGTCTTCACCATAACAGCAATAGTATAGTAAATGTAGCTCTACTACAGATACCAGCAAGAGATGTGAAATGTTAGGCCTGCTACATCCTAGAACATAGCATATAAGCTGTGCTGACCAGTTCTCTTCCTCATCAACTTTCCTTGCCAAAGAATTATGGAAATTATCTGTTACCAATTTCTGTTAAAAGGCTGAGTCGACCTTAGGGCTGTATTGAGTGGACACAATCCTGTCACTTTTGAAGACTGAACTGAGACCATTGACTCAGCAGGCATGCAATAATGTGGACATGATCTGACTGCCTAGACGACTGAAGATATAAGCAGAGAAAACAGATTTGCATTAATTAAAGCACACTGACCTTGGTGCATAAATGTCTGCTATGGGCTAGACAGTGATCACACAGGATACCGAAAACTTAACTCTTTATTTCCAAAGCAGCAAAACATTTGTATCTGGCTATTCTCTGTATGCAACAATCATCATGTCATAAATGAATGCACTTAATCTAGCCCAAACAAAAAGACACCTGTAACTTTTTCTGTCATAATTTTCCTATTCAGCATCTGCTGTTACTCTCTTGGATCTAAGGCAAAGAATGGTATGTAAGTATTTAAGGAGGGCAACCTTTCCAAGTCTTCAGGAAATTACAGTACAGTATTAGTGCTAGTAAAAACTGTACATAACTCTTCTTTCTTGTCTACGCCCTGTTCTCAATGGCACAGTCATGTGTACAGTATTCATTACATATTCAAAACAGCTGAGTTATAACTACAGTAGCATATGGAGGTGGGAAAAAAGCATGAAAAAGAGTTTTCTCTTTCTCTCTCTCTCTCTCTTTTAGCTACTCTTCACATTCCCTTCTCTGTGACTAACTGCATATGAATGATAGAGAGAGCAAAAGCTTGTGTGTCCGCCAAAAAAAGGGGGAGATGGGGGAGGTGGGGACATCAGTAAAAAATGCATATATATGCCAAGACAATGGTTATGGGTTCAATCCCCAGCTGTGGATAGATCGGACTTGATACCCACTAAAGCGTCATGATTACTCTGTTCTATCAAACAGACACCAAAAATTTTTTCTGGAAAGTCACTCCAACTTTTCATGCTGTGCCTGATATATGTAGAGTATACAGATTAAAACTTCTAGTTACACATATGTGAAAGACTTCTTTAACTGCACAAAAAGTTTCATGATTTTTAGATTAGTAAGACTGCTGAGAACTCAATCATGTGGTCACTTGAAAAACACAAAAAAAATCATTATCAGCAAAACTTACTAATTTCACCCAGTTCCACACCCCAGCATTTCCCTCTACTTCCCCCCCCCCCCCCCCACCTCCTCTGTATTACAACCTGACAGTAAACTATTATTTTTGATGCAGGAGAGGAATAAGTATAACCTCTAGTACAGAATGACAAACAGATTCAAAGTGTGCACTTTATGGTACTTCAAAGTATATGGATTATTTATTGTCACACATAGTACACACCACCCTAGCACGTCCACATAGGCTAATTTTGATGATAGAATGTAGGGTAGCATGTGTTATCCCGAAACAGGAACCTGCTCCATTTGAAGAATCATCAATCAGAATATCAACTTGTTTGCCAGAAAATAATTTAAACTTGTAAGAATAAATTATCTTAATCTGGCGTTCAGATGTGTTTCCACGCTGTCAAATAATGTCAAATTTTACACAGAACCCAACTAAAAACATTCTGAACCCCACAAATTCCTTCTGGTGCTTGTTCCTTGTGGTGCTTGTTCCTTGTGGTGCTTGTTCCTTGTGGTGCTTGTTCCTTGTGGTGCTTGTTCCTTGTGGAGCTTGTTCCTTGTGGTGCTTGTTCCTTGTGGTGCTTGTTCCTTGTGGTGCTTGTTCCTTGTGGAGCTTGTTCCTTGTGGTGCTTGTTCCTTGTGGTGCTTGTTCCTTGTGATTTCTATTACATTTCTGATCATCTGTTGGCTACATCTTCTACAGATAGCTGACATTTTGATCCTGCAAACTGCCACCCCAGTAAAAGCCCTGAACCAGTTCGTTTGGACTCAATGCATGTCAGTTATTTTTATTTTTAGTTTATTCATATTCATGGCAAACTACTGGACGTAAATTTGCCTAGAAAATCCACACAACAACCAGGGGCTGTTGGATTGGTTCTGCAACGTCCTGTAAAGGATACGCAACTAACCTTTATTCATATTCACCACATTAAAATTGTGAAATATAGGCTTTGTTTCTCTACAAATGCGCCCCCGTCATGTTCAACTACTGATAGACATATCATAGCGCATTATTATCATGAGATGAAATCAAATGTCAGCTCTGCAGCTGCACAGGCGATTATTATTCTCAACTATTATTAAACTGCAACAAATCTGGCCCTAATCTGTTGTTGCTCGTCACGTGACAGTCAATTATACCTGTTATATATAATTCCATGTTTGGCTATAGTTATACGTGAACTCTCGCAGGAAAACAATAGTTAATCAGGCTGAAGTTCTATAGTTATAAACTACACCTAGCAAACAGTTTCATGCGCTTGTTTACAGTTTGACATTTATGCAACTTATTATGTGAAAGGAGGAGAGACTGTGTGCCTAGTTGGGGGTGGGGCAACATGTCGGGAAGCGGCAATTTAACTGCATCACTGTTAAAATCTGCGCCAAATCCTAACTATTCGTGCTAACCAGCTGTAGGCCCAGGAAAGGTTACAGGGTCGACGGTACTCTAGCCAGATTAGAATAACACAACGCGAAGGCCACAAACAGCCCGCTTACGTGCTTACATCAGCAGTAGGCAAAAAGCGTTATGGGCGCTAATGGGGCAAAACAGATATTTAAGCGAAGAACTTCAAAGAGAGCAGTAAGAAGCATAGATGGATTATTTAATACCCGCATACAGGTTGGCCGATATGGGTGTCCTAATTATAATGTCTCAGGATGTTGAACAGGGGTTTGCCCTGTTGGCTTGCCATCCGGGTTGAGATTTTGTAATCTTAGAGTGTCAAACGTTCTCATGGCAGCCGGAATGGGGAACAAGAAACAGGATTACTGACAACAATGAATGTAGTCTTTTTTAACAACCCTTGAAAGAAAACCGCTCCTGAAATACATGGAAAACATAAATATTCGACTGTGCAGTTCTTATTAATGACTCAATTACACCCGTGGATAAGTGCAGAGACGGCTTAATTATCACCAGTGATGATAGCAGAACCCTGATATTTGTGAAAGTGAATAAAGGAAAGTTCGTAGATTTGTGTACAGTTATGTCGGTAGTTTTACAGAAGAATGCCCAGGAACGGACAAAACATACTGCCATGTCACTGGTTACTCAGGTCGAAGAGGGTAGTCTGCGTTCTTTAGGTATCTCATATAGGGGAATACAGGAACAGATCAATGGAGAGGATTTATTAGCATCATCAATCCATGGAAGAGACAGTGGGGGAGACAGTGGGGGAGACAAAAGGCTGCGGACAGGCGCGACGCCCAAATGTGACACGGCTTGAACAATTGGGAGACAAGAATGAAAATGTCCAATGCTGCAGAGTTGGGTCTAAACGTTACAAAGAAGTTTTCGGATATTTCAATAGCGAGTAACACATGTGTAACCGCTACCTGGCTCTGCAGCCGGCGGGAGAGGACAGTCAGAACACAGAGAGTGCGTTCACTAATTGTCCTGTTATGCCTTAATATGTTACACAGGGCTAGCAATCTACTCCCCCATTCCGTTATATACAGGGCAATTATTTCCATATCATGGATGGAATCCAGGCCGGCACCTTTGGCCTCTCTCATCAACGTTCGCCTTATGGATTCCCTCAGACGTCCTGTTTCATCAATTCCTCCACTGCAATGCCTGTTTGGTGATTCTCTGTTTATCTCTTTGTAGAATGTGTCCAATATAACACCATCTTCTCTGTCTTATCAGTATTTATGGTAGTGGTTGCTCCTCTTGAATTTATCACATTTTATGTTCATCACTTTCTCGGGAATTTGTTTTCGAATACTTTTAATTTTCGCTCAGTATGTTGGGCGGTTCTCCAACATCACTGAAATATGTTGAAAATAAAATAAAAATAAAGTTACAAATGAAAATAGGTAACTTGGAGAGAGATCTATCAATACAATCATAACTTTGGATACTGTAAACATGGGAATCAGCGTTTATCAGCAACAACCTATAGTCTATGCATAAATACTCTTGTTTTTATGACAGCCAACGTGTGACTATATTCCCATCCCCACACTGGACTGCGGGATATTTTTTAACCTTAGAAGTGCCCTAATGCACGCGGTTTCTGGAATCTTCTCCTATTTCTCATGACTGCAATCCTGGGGAAAGGGACGGGTGGGCCCAACCTACCAACGTCAGCCAACGAATATTGGCAAACAGGTCAACCAGCACTACTCCTACCCTAACGCAAGCAGGTAAATTAACACCGCCGCTGCGGGTGTCAGGAAAACGAGCAAGAGCGTGGGTCGGGAGGTGGGAGAAATAACGCTTCTTAAAACAATACAGACAGTGGTGGCTTTGTTTCTTCCCCTTTCCAAACCCTACTAGGTTTACCTTGCAAGCGTTATCAGGAGGGACTTCCTCTCAGTGGTAAATAGGTTGTGTACAGCTTGTAGCCACCACGGTATTACCAACGTGCGCGCTAACACGCCTGCATGGCTAGTCTGTCTATAGGGCATCGAAAGCGGTCGATCGGGGGGGAAAAGGTAGGTGGGCGCAGGAACGATTAATTTGGGAAAGCAACTGGCAGAGAGATGATAACATTACGTAGGCTTACTATTAGTTTCAAATCTCAATCGTACGCTGACAATGCCGAATTCCGATACGATAAGTAAAG